AATCAATTTCAGCGTTATTTTGGGTTGTAAATTTTTTGGGTTTGCGTTATATTTTAATATTAGTTTAGTTGTTTAAAATTCACTGATATATACGCTTAATGTGAGAAGTATGAAAGGGTCAAGTATCTGTGTAATATGTTAAAAATGTATGATCGAGTATATGTATATATATTTAAGGAATTAAGAATGGAACATATATTTGTTTTCAATATTATTCAAGGCTCATGACGACATATGTATGTACATATGTAGTTTAAAATAAAACGTTGGTTTTGAATATTCTCATTTCAAAAATTATTAAAGAAAAACAAAAATAAAATTTTTGCAGTCTGTACTATTAATTTTTGTTAAAGCTAAAGACCTATTTGTTTGTATGAATTGAACCTTTTTGTTATACAACAAAAAAGTGGTAGCAGTAACAGCTGCTTCGGAGATACCCACATCTTTCATCAGACTTCTTCTGTCAGGGATCGAACAAACGGATCCTCTTTTTATGCTTCATATGTACACAGAAAAATGTTGTTATATCTAGTAATCTCACAATTACTTCTTGTCAATAACTCAACAGAATTCTACCCAAGGCTGAAACACTTTTCTTGGAGTTACTATGGAACGCTCGCATTCAGAGATACAAACAGTATTTTTTTTAAGTTGATAAACAATACATTCTTAAGAATATCAAGATGTCTATGCCAAATCTGATTTCATTATTCCTCATTTTATGTTTCACTCCTTTGAAAAGCCCATGAAAGTGTTTCGTGTAAGCAGGAAGAAATTTCCACTTATAAACAGTTTACAGAATGAGGTCGAAGAGCAAAAGTATGGGCAGTATGAATATGTCTACTTCTGTAAAAGAAACGCTGGTTTAATATATTTTTTATATGAATACTCGGTAAACGAAAAACTTACATCATAGAAATCCTCTCCCCTGTGTGATGTATTTACTCTGATCTTCGAAAAAGTGGTAAAATATGTAGAAAGTGATTTGCCATAAATGGAGTAGTAAAAAAACGGGGAAAATCATAATACTTAGTATATTTTGTTTGGCTGATTTTCTGCGTAGTAACCCCATTCGGTTAAGCACAGTTAGGTTTTGAAAAAAAAAAAAAACAATTACAGGCCTATTCTGTCGAGGCAACAGAATTTACTTTGGTATTAAATTTTACCATTAGGTAAATTTTGTTACTATTTCGTATTCTGAGTTCACTGTCACCCTCTAAATTTTGTTACCAGCGAAAATCTACCAGTATGATTTTGTGTTGTCAGTTTGAGAAAAAATTAAAAACCAAAATGGGTTGGCATATTTTAGGCCTGGAATTCATTGAAGATGAAGAAAAAAGAGAAAATAGGCGTATGCTTAGAAGTTGCGAGAAAAAAATCACCCTTTTAATTTGGCAGATGGCTTTATCACTCAGCTTTTCTTTTGTCGTTTAAGCAAATTTTCACAAATTAGGTCCAAATGCTTATGATTTAATAAACAAATTAATAAAGCTTTTTAATTTTTTTATGCAACGTCTTCCATTTCGATGTGAATATTTTTCTTTTTACTTTATCAACTGGCAAATGTAATTCGACCAGAACGAAAAAAGCAGTGCAGCCCAAGTTTTTTTCAAACATTGTAACCAGTTCGCCAGAATACCAAATTCAGTTTCGGGTGTTAAAAAAAGTAACAAAACTTACTTTACCGGTAACAGACAATAGGCCTATTAGTAGCAGAGATAAGGCCTATATCCAGTTTTTAAGTACATTGTCAAGTAAACAATGGTATGTAATTACTTAAGAAAAAAATTGTGGTAGAAACGTACCGCAATAAGCTGGTGGAAAACAACAAAGTAAATTTAATTTGTGGAAGCAATTGTAAAAAATATCTGCAAGACACATACAAAGAGATGTTTAAATATTATCTATACATATATAGTTATGTTACTATGAAGGAAATCTGCCAAGTCCCTAAGTCACTTTACTTTCGTTAAGGAAATAATTGTTGACATGTATGTATATTTTGCCAAGTTCGAAGGGGTTTCAACACTCTTCAACGATCAAGTCCAGTTAACCATTCAAAGTTCACATTACAGCAAACATTTTTTACATGGAGTTTGCTCATTACTTAAGAACTGGATGTTGGCCTATAGCGATAAATTCAAAATTTAAAATGAAAACAGAAAGATGTTGTGAATAATTTCAAATGCCATATCTACACGCTTAGTGTTATTATTCTAATAACGGAAATGGTAACCATATTCAGTATTTCTCAACGCCACAGCTGTGGCACCAACTCCATATACACCCGCATTTGAAACGAAATAGAGGAAACTCGTACGGAAACAGTAAATTCAATGGAGTGAGAGAGATTTATTAAATAAAAAGAGCAATCAATGGTTTAAGAAGGGAAAAAATTCAAAATAAGATTAGCTTTATTTCAGAAAAGAATTTGTAATTGAAATTCTGATGCTGTAAGCTGCGAAGTGGAGCTTGTTTTCGATTATATATAAGACCATAGTGATGTAAAGTTGCGGACGTGAATTAGGCATAGCGTAAATATTGGTCAGGTAAAGAGTTCGTTCGGGTTTTATCGAAGAGATGGAGTCATTGTCCATAATACTAGTGTTACGTGTCGCTCCAGTCATACTATACGCCGCTGAAAACGTGTTTATTCGTGCTAAAAGTTTGTCGTTGTGGACACCAGCAAAGAGAAAATTTGCTAAAGTTTACAATTTTTCTTCGATCAAGGCGAAAAAGCAGCTAAAGCGGCTGAAAAAATTAATTTAGTTTAGTGGTTTGCTAGGTTCCGTTCCATTAATTTCGATGTCAAAGATGCACCACGCGTCGGGAGGCCTTTCGTTGAAAATTGCGATAAAAACAATGAAATAGTGGAAACAGATCGTCACATGAGCACTTTTTTAATTACTGAGGAGCTTCAGATAAGCCAAAAAACCGTTAGGAACCATTTGCACAACCTTGGATTCACAAAGAAGCTCGATGTTTGGGTGCCACACGAAATCATGATGGACCGAATTTCCATCCGCGAATCGCTGCTGAATCGCAACAAAATCGACCAGTTTCTGAAGCGGATTGTGACTGGCGATGAAAAATTGGTCACTTACGACAACATCTAGTGCAAACGGTCGTTGTCAAAGCTTGGGGAAGCGGTGTCCATAACCGGATTGACGGCTAGTAAGGTTCTGCTCTGTGTTTGGAGGGATTAGCAAGGAATCATCTACTACGAGCTACTCCCCTATGGTCAAACGTTAAATTCGGCCCTCTACTGCCAGCAAATGGACCGCTTGATGGCAGCACTCATCCAGAAGAAGTTATCTTTGATCAATAGAGGCCGAATTGTATTCCATCAGGACCACATGTCTTTGGTAACGCGCCAGCAGCTCCAGGACCTGGGATGGGAGGTCCTAATGCATCCACCTTATAGTCCGGTTCTGGCATCAAACAATTACCATTTTCTTCTGTCCATGGCGAACGCGATTAATTGTGAGAAGTTGGCCTCAAGAGAGGCCTGTAAAAATTGACTTTCTGAGTTTTTTGCTAATAGGTGCGCAGCCTTCTACGAGAGGGGTATAATGAAGTTCGCATCTCGTTGGCAACAAGCTTACGAACAAAACGGTGCATATTTGACCTAAAGCGGACAAATGTACACAAATAATATGACAACTATTTTGAAAAATCAATAAAAAAAAAACCGAACGAACTTTTTACCTGACCAAATAACTAAGTACAGCTAAGTGGAAAATATTGTATGAAAGTTTAAAATACTAAAACTTATGATCTTTTTTCTTTTTGTAGAATCACACATACACTCTTGTGCAAAACGAGCATAAATATTTGTTCAAGGGTGACGAAGTAGTACAAAAAAAAAATAGTTTTTACATACTGTTTTTCTATTTAAATAATTTTCAATGAGATTCACGCAAAATCTTTTCACTAGTCGCTTAAAACATAAAAAAAGCACCCACTCTTTCTCTCAATACATTTCTTTTAGTGAAGGTGAAGATTATCACGACGGTGAGAATTTAGTTTTATTTTAAGATCATGTAAAACCAATTTTGAGCTAAATCAATAATTTCACAATTTACGTCGAGCTACAATTGATTTAACCGTTTTGAGTTTTCGTAATAAATAATTTTATACTAACTTCTCTTAATAAGTAACGAGTAATTTCTTGCTGCATAAAATAGTCTTATGTTTCAGCTGATGAAATTGTTTTCTGAAGTGGAGCAGTTTTAAATCTCGAAGTTTAACAAACTATTGCTTCTCATGACTCGACAAACTTCTTACGTCGTGACCCCATTTGTATCAGTTTTCTGGAGGAGGATAATGATTAGGTTTATTATTATACCAATTTATAATAAACTAGATTTCAAGGAAAATTATATTTATTTTCACACGGTGATCGTTGTGGACCACAAAAGGGCTAAAGGTTTTTTTGAGTTAAGTATGTATCCAGCTTATCTCAATTTTGAATTTTTCTAAAAAAATTTGGCAATAAAATATAAGAATGAACATAATTACATATACAGAATTTATTTATTTTTAATTTTAATTTTCTTTGTCAACGATGTTACATTAATAGTCTGAAAACATTTGTTGTTGGCATGCAATATGTTTAAGAAGCTCACCACAAAACGGAACTAAATGTCGAAAGCAGAAATGACCCAACGTCTTAAATACGCCAATATCTGTGCTGGGGGACTCGGCTCAGCTGTGGTAAAACTTAACCAAAATTAATATTGCTTTTTGAATTCCGTGGGGGTAGAGCTCACCTTCGCTGTTCTGCAGGGCTGTGAATGTTCAGGAGATGAAAAAACCCTCGTAGGAGTGATGTTTTCTTGCAGGAAGCATTATGAGTAAGAAAATGATATCACCACCCGCTGAGATGCTTGAGCGAGTACAAAGAAATGCTACCGAGTGACGAAGTAAAAGTGTCGTTACTTACTATATTAAGGTTAAATAAAATTCTCTTTGTGCTGCTTTAAATGCAAACTTTATTAATGTGTTACTTATATTTGTTAATTCTTTACATTGTATTTATTGATAAACAAAAGTCGTCAAGATTTGGAGAATCGATAAGTAGTTACGTTAATGTTTAAGCACTTCTTCCGAATCTCATATGGCCATAGTCATCGAATTGGTCTTCGCCACCTCGCTTACCGAAACGCATATGACCATAGTCGTCAAAGCGCTTTGATCGATCACCATCTTCGTTTTCCACCAACAAATCTAACTCAATTGGTATTTTTGACCGAGATATCTGCAACATTTTCGGACCAAATCCATACATACGATCCATCCTCCGATGATTAGCGTATAAGCTTCTGCCGTTGATGTCATTTGTCGAGCCCAGAGGCAATCCACTAGAGCTCAAACCACCTCCGTTCGATCTTACGTCGTGCAATTCTGATTTAATTGAGTCCAGATCATTAGCTAAAACCGAATTACCTAAGGCGCATACGGCAAGTAAAATAAACACTTTTCTTGTTAAGTTTGACCAGTTTACAGCTTGAGCCATTTTATGGTACTCTCTCCTATGATGCGTCTCTCTTAATGCATCAAATTGTTGATAGGATGGAACCTTTTATAGAAAATATTGGTAAATATATTCAAGTTTTTATTTACGTTAAAAGCCTTTTTAATATTCTACCAAGGATTCATCTTTCACCTCTACTTGACGTTTACCGTTTGTCTATGGAAATTCATTATTTACTTGCTCTTCATAATTTGACAGATTATTGACAGCAGATTGTCGACGCCTTAATTTAATATATTTTCAATATGAAAAACAAATTCAATCGCATTCTTATACATACGCATATACAAACATTCATACATAGTGTACACAATAAAGTAAGATTAGCCCAGGCAATAACGTGATTACTCATTCATGCGTGCAATATAAATATGTATGCTCGGGGAGGGCAATAGAGTACTCCGAAGCTAACCACAGCGCATACAAATTCTAAGGTTGTACTTCATCGCATCACAATGATGTCCTTGGGCTGGACGAAATACTCCACCCCTGCACATCATCGGGGACATTCCATGGGGCACCTACCTACAATTTTTAAACTAAATTCATTTCGAAATATCTTCTTGAATACTCCTTGTAACATTTTCAAGTCATTAAACATAATGATGCGATGGTTAAAAAATGAGCAATCGTCAACTAGGAACAAGTGAGGCGCAAGCTTGTCCACTCCTGACTACAGAGGAGTAATCCGATAAGCAATGAATGCACACATGATCCACAAAAACTTTGCATAGTACTGACATATACACACACATAAATTGCTTAGGTTTATTAACTTATGACATGGTAAAAAAAAATTAGTTTATTTCATAAATCTGTTTCGATATTTACCCCGTACCTAGAAAGCGCACCTCTAGCATCTCCCAGGATTAAAATGCTTAAAAACTCGGCGCACATGAGCCCTATGTACACGCGAACCTACTAAGATCAAAGAGTCGCCCATTTTTCACTAGCAATTCTCGAGCAAATCAGATTTAGGTTGATGGAGAATTTGTTAACTAATTTGAAAAGGTAATCAGCGGGCTTTCCTAACTATCAACCACGGATTTCAACATTTTAAACTTTTTTAGTATGTCTTGAATCAAACAAGCAAAATATGCTAAACAGAATCAATAATTGCGTGTCATTCGTTTCATTCATAGCTTTGTTTGGCGGAAATATGATGAGGCCACTCTCTACCTGATCCTTGTAACGGAGTGAATACCTTCGTCTTTCTCTGCTTATATCAGCGCATACTGCATATAATACTTTCAAAGCTGGAGTTCTTTCATCAGTTCAGACGACAGGCCCCAGCCAGCGTAGCCGATGTCTCTTCATTCGCGGAACTATGTCAATGTCGCAATATAACTCGTACAGATCATCGCTGCATCGACTGTATTAATCTTTTCCTCGAAAACTACTAGTGCCCACTCAACGAATGCCAATATCGTTCACGATTCGGCATCAAAAGTAGGATGGGAATAATAAGCGATTTGTGGAGTTTAGTTTTTGCTCGCCAAGTGTTTAACTGGTTAGTGAAATAATTGCTTGTTCGACTATAGCAGATATTAAGTCTTTGCCTCGTTCACCATCGGGTCCATTCGCTTCTCTTCTTTGTCTGAAAGTAGAACTAACGGCGCGGTTGTTAATGCCAATGATGTACAGGAATTTAAAATTCAGACATAGCGTCATAGAAGAAAAGTCTTTTCCTTGCTGTCAATGGCAAGATTCCTTTCTCACCGGTCTTTTCAAATATTTAACGCATGGTGAATAACTGGTCTAAGGTGGACTTAGCAGGACTAAAGTCTGTTGACGGTGGCTTTTAATCTTTCACGCTTCATAAACCTCATATGCGATATTGAGGAGACAAATCCCAAAGTAATTGGCGCAAATCGTACCACCCCTGTTTGTGAATTGGATAGATCACTCTTAGGTTCCACTCATAGTTTTGTTTTCACCCGACCTGCCAAGGAACTGATGCATGTAGCCTTTTATACTTATGTTATGTTGGTCGAACCAGGATTTGAACCCGAGCCCTTCGAATAACAATACGCAATGCTAACCACTGGATAACCGCTGCCGCCGATTCATCGCAGCGGTTAGCTCCTATCACTTGGAGGCTGTATTTCGCGACTATTGTGTCGAAGATTCTTTCCTTGTACACCTTGAGACAAAGTCATGCAACATTTCGATATCCTGGCTGGAGTTCACTCCAAGCGCTCATAAAAGGCATCTTTGGTTACATTGTCATTGCTGTGACACATTATCACCTTGCGTTGAAACCCAGGAGGCTGAATTTTAAATAGCCAACCCCAATTTTGTATTCGTGGCGGAGGTTTAGCTCATAATCATATCGTCCTTTTTTTGTCGGGGCATGGGCGCAAATCCGCATTGTGTTAAAAAATTTTGTTTTGATGTGTGCTGTAGAAAGACATTCATTCACCGGAGTGAATGCTAGCGCTCGGCGTCGGATTCTACTAAAATTTGCGCTTCATGCTAGAAATGCACTCGGAGGGGTTGACACTCCATGCATGCTTACCTGCTAGAAGGAATCGTTTCGAGCCACTCCCAGGTGAATGACAATCAAAAACTTTATACACCCCCTCCCCACTTGCGTGAACTTCTACTAATGATCCCATCCTCCACTCCCACATTGCAACACAGAATCTGAAAATGAATCAAAGAAAAAGCACAAGCACAGAGAAGAGAGAAAAAAATGGTTAAATAAAGTATGAGCCCTTTGTTGGAATAACCTCAAAAAGGCGCCACGAATTATAAGTTATAAATATAAGTTGTCATTTGTATGCGTAAGTTTTCATATGTATGTTGGCGATATTTCAAATAAAATCCTACCCATTATATTTCTTCATGGCATCTTCCATGGACGCCATTTCATGGTGTGAAAATTTGAAATTTGGTAAAAATATTTAGTTTAAAACAATTAATCTTAATGCAAAAAAGAATATTATTTTTTTTTGCCCAGCATTTTCTGGCTTCAGACTGGAGCAAGTATGTCATACCAAAGCGATATGTAGAACAAATTTAAATTTTCGGTCACTTATCGGTTGCCCCAATTCTAAAGAATATATTATATGTATGTATGCATGCACGTAACTACCGTCTGCAGTAAACACCGCATACACGTATATAACTAAATGTTCATACATACGAGTATACATTTGTGAATATACATTTACTAGAAACATATTCATACATATGTATGTATGTATCTAAATACTATAAGTTTATTGAAGTGGCTGGTGAACCTGTAATAATCCGGTTGGATGTGCCACATTTTTGATAGCAACAAAGTGATGGCAACAAAATCAACAGAACTCAAACATCAGAATTCAAGTCCAATATCGAATGCCACATTACCGTTATATGGAGCAAAGCAACATACGAATGGTGAAAATTGCTTCAGACTCAGGTTATTCGGTTAGAAAACGTGAGTACGGGCACAGGAGAATACATGCTTGGCTAAAACATGAAAAATTTATATGCTCATACAGAAGTAGTTTGAAAGAAATGAAGTGATCAGAGCAGATGAACCGGTTTTTATCTGGTTGCAACCACCGTTTGTTGCAGTAAATTATTGAACGCATAAACGTTTGTACATATGTACATATTTATAAAAATGGTCTATTGGATACTGATACTATACTCATGTTGACGTCTTCTAAAGATGCAAGCGAATACGTACAAACGTAGAGGCACATAAGGAAATAATTACACATATTGCTAGCACATGCACCCATTCTAGTGAGTACACTATTTAGGAAGGATTTTTCGGCTTAAGTCTTAAGGCAAACATAAGCCTAAGAAAATAAAAACCCTTCTTCCAAAAAAGACGTTCCGTCATTTTTACTTACGATAAATTATACGTTGCAAAAAGTATTTCAATATACTCGGAAATGTAATCGTCGAAGCAGTTATCAAAATAAGTTTTATTTCATTATTGCCCCACACGAAAAGCTGTCGTTAATGCTAAATCCTTAACAGATAATGTTAGACGTTAAAGGAAAAGTGTGCTGATAACATCATAGCTAGCCAGCAGACATTTTAAAATTACTGTTAACGCTGAGCTTGTGCGACTTCAACATTAAAAATTTCATTTCGTTTCGATAACTTGGCGCCGAAACGAAATAAAATGGTTTCGATAGATTCATTTTTCATATTGACAAAACGAAAGGCCATCGTTTTGTTAGGAAGAAGTTTTTGATTTTTCGAAAATGGTCTTGGGTAGGTTCTAGGCTACTCACATCTGGCAAACCATGACAAAAAGGGTTTGTAAACGTTTTTGAAAATAAAATTTTACTACTCACGAATAAGCACGTGCAACTTAAGATTGTTTTGTATCGAAGAGAGAACCAGGGATGAAATCAAATATTTAAGCCAATATGAGCTACATATGTACATACACACTTGTTCAAATAAATTAATTTATTTTGTAAATTGGGTATTTAAAATTAACAACAATAGCCAGCCACACAGAAATTCTAAGGAAATTTAAATTTTTGCTTGAAATTGATCTCGTACTTTTTTAATAATTTTCGCGCTCACTGAAAGAGATTTTTATGACACAATTCTTATTGAAAATGGAATTTGTTATTTAAGCCTTTATCGCGACCAGCAAATCAATAAAAATAATGCAATATATGTATGTAGACTCCTAAAATATCGTATTAATCTTCTTTGCCCAAAACTGTATCGAGTTTAAGTATTGAAAAAATCTACGACAGTCTCCAAATACTGGCAGATATCCGCAGCACAAACTTACGGGTAAAATATTGTGCAGAAACAGGTTCATTAATGTCCCTGCTTGATGCAAGAACAAATGTCTTGCATTCTTAGCTAAGTAGGTCATCGCTTCAATTCAATCCTGTTGCAATTTGGGTCATTCGACTCATGGCAAAACCAGATATAATACAATACATACATACGTGTATACACATAAACATACATAAGTATGTGAACATCAAAACGGCTTGCCACATATGTATGTATTGCATATGGCAATATAAGTGCTAACTCAGCCAAAAGTACACACATGCATTGTATTATGACTGCATAATCCTAAATTAATAAAAATAGGCTATCAATTATTATTAACAAGT